TGAAAAAATGACCACGGCAATATTTCATTAATTAAAAAACACTTTAAACGCATGCAACATTGTATACATTCATTCTTAAATAAACAGAAGGTGTGAATTTAAAAATGTGCACAAAAATACTGCAGACTAAAAAAGTTTGCAACTGTGAACAAGCATAGCACTGGAGAAATGAAGACCAATGCAGAATTAACCTTGACCAAATAATCCACCTCCACCTGGGAATTTAACATGGTGAGATATACCTCTAAATGGATAACAATTTTCTGTGCTGTCAGAGAATCAGAAAATGAAGTTAAGATAAGTGTATTCACATTTCATAACGTTTAAATCAGTCTAGCAAACGACACTGCAGGTGAATGAAAACCAATTTTACAATGAATGTGAGTTACACACAACAAATCTAAAGCATTTTCACAAGTGAGGTTGGCCACTGCTAGGCATGCCGATTTAAAAGATAAATACTTATAATTCACATGAGAACTATGCCAAATAAATCACTATCACTAAAGACTATTCTGCAACTACACTACACTTTGAAGGGCATTTCCTACTTTTACACTGCCACAATCACTCATTGTTTGAGCCTCTAAAATATATCTAAGAGCAGGAACAATCAGTCAGTCTACATAAAATGGTTGTGTGAAGGTTCTGTTGATCCGGCACCTATATCATTTTAATCAAAAGAAAGGTGAAAACACAGAATCACTCATGACAAGCAAAAAAACATTCTGGAGAAAGGGTTATTGTCAACTAAAAATAATCTCACCAGCTTCTTGAATTTGAGGGAGGGTAGCATTCCCTAGAGTCAATATTTAAGTGGAAAGGGCTAGGAAAGGACCTCATACTGAACATCCAAAGATCCTGCTAAATGTCCATGGGGAAAAGCTGCAGCCCTGTGGGAGATCACATGTTTTGTATGCTCATAATCTAAGGTTCAATCTGCCAATCCCTCCAAAGAGCTCTGGAAACCCAACTGTTGGACACTCTGGAGAATCGCTACAGTCTATTAGCTAAATAGACCAATGATCTCATTTGGTACAAGGAAACTTCCTCTGCTTCATTTCTAGGCACTACAGAGGAATTATTTATGTTCTTTCAGCTGCTCATAAGTAGATATTACTGAACACACACTAACCACATTACATCAGTTATAATTTTGCTTCATTTCCACAACTGCAAGCCTACTTATCTTTCCCAGCTGTCCTACTTTTGGGGTCACACAGTATATAGTTCCACATAATTATATATGGGGCACAATTATTTTTTTTTACAAAAGCAAAGAACCAAATTTGTGTCAGCAGCAGCACACATCCTCTCGAACTGCATCACTCACACAGATTACTTTATATCAGTGATGGGCAACCTTTTGAGCTTGGTGTGTCAAAATTTGCCAAAAACCTGGGTGGGGTGTCAACTTCAAGAAAAAAAACATAATTTTGCAATATTTATAGTTTCAATCAGAAAAAATGTCTATTCCATACTGAGTTATGGAGTGAAGAATGCTCAAATGTGCAGATGTTAAATCTGTAGAGCCTTTTACAAATTTAAGGATGGAATTAGATGGGCTCTTATAAGGTGTACTTCTCTGTGTCTGTGTGTCATCAAAAATAGCCATGCGTGTCAATGCTGACACGCGTGTCATAGGTTCACCATCATGGCTTTATATGGTACTTTCCCTACTTCAAAACACAAGCATATCATATGAGTTATGTAGAATTCAAACACATATATATTGCAGATTCTCTGTTAAAATTTGGACAAGTAATGAATGGGAAAGGTGTGTTTTGTCTCTTACATCTGTTTTAAAGTAAAAAGCCAAGGTTTTGGGTGATGCCTACTTTTCAAATGACAGCATTTTGGAATCAGGTATGAGAGCCACAGCAGAAGGCATAAGATAAACACTGCTTTGACTACCTATCAGTAAAGTTTATTTCACATATTTTCCAGTCCTGAGCTGCCATTTGAGAAGAGTTTGATTATTACTGGAGTTATGGATGGGTTTGGCCAGGATTCAGGAATTCTTTTAAAATATTGCAACGGTATCTTGCAGATCTGCAATGGTATCTTGCAGATTCTTTACAGCCATATTTGCAGATTCTTTTGAGGAACTCTTCATGCTAAAATTTAAAACTCTGCTTAACATGTTCTCATGGAGGAGAATTCGGATTCAAAATAAGTTCAAATGATTAGAAGCTTGAGAAGTAAGGCTCAAGGAAAGAAACACGAAAACTCACTATGCACCTAGAATATATAATCACAATACAGCATTTCAGGATGCAAGATGATTAAATATTTTCTTATAGAATATATTTTAAAAATAAATTAGAGATTACAAAATTCATATTACCCTAACAACCATGACTGAACTTTACATGAGCCATATATTATTTTAGACTATAAAAATAGGTTCCGATACACTTTTTAAAAAGTCTGAGATCTGAAGATGTAGTATCCTGAACAGCAACAGAACACTGCCCTGCAAAAACCAACAAAAAAGCTTCACTGCTATGACTCTGGGTTGCTATAACAAAAAAGGGGGGAGGGGAAGTATATGGAAGCTACCACTTAATAGAGAAAGGACAAAGGGAGTCTCTATTGGTAGAACCCTTTCCTTAAGGATGACATAGTTTGTTCAACAACAACAACAAAGGCTTCCCACCCAAAGAAAGGGAGAGCTAGAACAGATACTTGCAAATCAGACTGAAGACTGAAAACGCCCTAAAAGAAAGCTTGGCTACTTGTCCTAGGAAGAACTGATCCTATAGGAACATGAAGCCAATGTCTTGAGCTCATTAATTCCTGGGCAAAAATAAGGAGCATTAACCCTAACTCTTCAATTACTTACATACACAGAACACCTTTGTGGTACAGTTATATGGATTTCTATATATGTGTGTATATACACATTGAGAGAGAGAGAGAGGTTTATGGCACAGCTACATGGACATAAATAGGGCATAAATAGTTTGAGTTGTAATTACTTGGCCTAAGAATAACTGATCCTATAGGAACATGCAGCCAATGTCTTGAATTCATTAATTCCTGGGCAACCAAACGAAAGGCAGGATTGACCCTAACTTCAGGATGTGTGTGTGTGCACACATATACAGAGGGAGAGCCTTTCTGGTACAGTTACATGGATCTCCATGGTTATTACACATAAATAATTTGAGTGCTTAACTACTTGGCCTGGAAAAAACTGATCCTATGGGAACATGTAGCCAATATCTTGAGTACCTCGATCTCTGGGCAATTAAATGAGGGGCAGGGTTAACCCTAACTCTTATCTGCTTTGAACTGGAATATATGACAGTGTGGACTAGAGGCCCTTCCACACAGCCCTATATCCAAGAATATCAAGGCAGAGAATTCCACATTATGTGAGTGTTGATTGAGATAACCCAGTTCAAAGCAGACATTGTGGGATTTTCTGCCTTGATATTCTGGCTAATATGGAAGGGCCCTGAGGAACAATTGATCCTATTGGAACAGGCAGCCACTGGCCTTGAACCCCTCCCTCTCTGGACACCCAAATGAGGGGCAGATTGACCCTATCCCTTCAGGATTGAGAATGTGTGTGTTAGAACCAGGGTTAACCCTAACTCTTCAGGATTACTAACACATACAATGGCTTGAACCCCTCCTTTTCTCCCTGGACACCCAAATGGGCGAGTTGACCCTAACCTTTCAGGATTATATGTGTGTGTGTGTGTGTGTGTGTGTGTGTGTGTGTGTGTGTTAGAGTCAGAACTGACCCTAACCCTTCAGGATTACCAACACATACAATGGCTTGAACCCCTCCCTTTCTCCCTGGACACCCAAATGATGGGCAAATTGACCCTAACCCTTCAGGATTATATATATATGTGTGTGTGTGTGTGTGTGTGTGTGTGCGTGTGTGTGTGTGTGTGTGAGAGAGAGAGAGAGAGAGAGAGTTAGGGTTGACCCTAAACCTTCAGGATTATATATGTGTGTGTTTTAGAGTCAGGGCTGTCCCTAACCCTTCAGGATTACATAGATGTGTGTTAAGAGTCAGGGCTGACCCTAACTCTTCAGGATTACTAACACATACAATGTCTTGAACGCCTCCCTTTCTCCCTGGACACCCAAATGAAGGGCAGGTTGACCCTAACCCTTCAGTATTGTGTGTGTGTGTTAAGAGTCAGGGCTGACCCCTACTCTTCAGGATTATATGTGTGTGTGTGTGTGTGAGAGAGAGAGAGAGAGAGAGAGTCAGGGTTGACCCTAACCCTTCAGGATTGTGTGTGTTAGAGTCAGGGCTGTCCTTAACCCTTCAGGATCACATAGATGTGTGTTAAGAGTCAGGGCTGACCCTAACTATTCAGGATTACCAACACATACAATGGCTTGTGACCCTACCCCTTCAGGATTATATATAGGTGTGTGTGTTAGAGTCAGGCCTGACCCCAACTCTTCTGGATTACCAACACATACAGTGGCTTGAACCCCTCCCTTTCTCCCTGGACACCCAAATGAAGGGCAGGTTGACCCTAACCCTTCAGTATTGTGTGTGTGTGTGTGTTAGAGTCAGGGCTGACCCTAACTCTTCAGGATTATATATAGGTGTGTGTGTTAGAGTCAGGGCTGTCCCTAACCCTTCAGGACTACATATATGTGTGTTAAGAGTCAGGGTTGTCCCTAACCCTTCAGGATTGTATGTGTGTGTGTGTGTGTGTGTGTGTGTGTGTGAGAGAGAGAGAGGGCTGTCCCTAACCCTTCAGGATTGTATGTGTGAAAGAGAGAGAGGGATAGAGAGTCAGGGCTGTCCCTAACTCTTCAGGATTACCAACACATACAATGGCTTGAGCCCCTCCCTGCCTCCCTGGGCGCCCAAATGAGGGCCAGAGTTGAGCCCACTGAGATCTACAGATCCCCACACAGGGAGAGCGCGCCTTTGTGGTGGAGCCAGGCGGGCCCGCGTGGGCCTGCCCTGTCCCCCTTCCCACTCCCTCGGGCCCCCTCCTCCTCCTCCTCCTCACCATCCCGTCTCGTCCTCCTCTCCGCCGGCCAGGCGCTCCAGCTCGTCGGGCCTCAGCGGCTCCACCTCGTCGAGGAGGCTGGCGTTTTCGCCGGCGCCCCCGAAGCCCGCCAGGCCGCCGCTTCCCTCGGGGGGCCGCCTGGGCCCGGCTTTGGGGCTGAGGCAGCGGCTCTCCAGCCCGAGAAGCACGGCGCCGCTCCTGGGCGAGGCGGCGGAGGCGGGCGGCGAGGGCGGCGTGCAGGCCCCGGACCCTCCGCCGAGGAGCCGTTTGGGGCTGCCTGCTCCTCCCCCTCCTCCTCCTCCGGGCGCCCCGGCGGCGCTGCGAATGCGGAGCTGCTCGTTCTGCTTCTCCAGCTTCTTGACCAGCTCCTGCAGCTTCCGCACTTCGGCGTCGGCGTTCACGTTGGAGTTGATGTCCTCCATGGCGGCCGGTGCTGCCTCCGAGGCCTCCGCCTGTGCCGCCTCCGCCTCCTCCTCCTTCCCGCTTCTGTCAGGCGGCGCTTTCTTGCTCTTCCTTCTTCCCTTCCTCTTCTCCTCAGGCGCCTCAACCCGGCCAGCGCCCTCTACATGGCCGGGCGGGGAAGCGCAGCCCCGCCTCTCCTCCCAATTCTTATTATTACTACTACTACTACTACTACTAATGAGGCCCTTCCTCTGAGGGCCCTTCCACATAGCCTATATCCCAGAATATCAAGGCAGAAAATCCCACATTATCTGCGTGTGGACTCAGATAACTCAGTTCAAAGCAGATATTGTGGGATTTTCTGCCTTGAGAGATATAGGGCTGTGTGGAAGGGCCCTGAGTCCACACTCAGATAGCATGGGATTTTCTGCCTTGATATTCTGGGATAGAGGCTGTGTGGAAGGGCCCTGAGTCCACACCCAGATAATGTGGGATTTTCTGCCTTGATATTCTGGGATATAGGGCTGTGTGGAAGGGCCCTGAGTCCACACTCAGATATTGTGGGATTTTCCGCCTTGATATTCTGGGATAGAGGGCTGTGTGGAAGGGCCCCCAAAACATCAAGGCAGAATATCAAGGTCTGGTTCATGAGGTCTCAAAGAGCCGGAAACGACTGAACAAATAAACAACAACAACCTATCCAAACGTATTCTCCCCTATGAACCATCAATATAATAATAATAATAATAATAATAATAATAATAATAATAATAATCTTTATTTATACCCCGCCAGCATCTCCCCAATGGGGACTCGGAGCGCCTTACATGAGGCCAAGCCTGAACAACAAATTACAATAAAAATAAAACCAAAACACAACCAAAAACGCAAACAGTAAACAGCAACATCATAATAAAATAAATGATACTAACAGGAGCGGAGCGCAGGGAGCATACCACTCCTCTGCTGCACCAGCTCCACTGGCTGCCGATTTGCTACCGGGCTCAATTCAAAGTGCTGGCGTTGGCCTTTAAAGCCCTAAACGGTTCTGGCCCAACCTACCTATCCGAATGTATCTCGGCCTATCAGCCCACCAGGACCCTAAGATCTTCTGGGGAGGCCCTGCTCTCTATCCCGCCTGCTTCACAGGTGCGGCTGGCGGGGACGAGAGACAGGGCCTTTTCTGTGGTGGCCCCTCGGCTATGGAACGCCCTTCCCATGGAGGTAAGATCAGCCCCCTCGCTGATGGTGTTCCGAAAAAGATTAAAAACCTGGATGTTCGAACAGGCATTTGGTTAATCGGTGCAATGAATGTGATGATTACAGGAATGGTAATATGGACGACGAAACTGGATCACGATTTTAGTCATGAGATGCACTGGGTTGTTATTGTTGTGTCAATATTGTGTATTATGCTTTTATGGTTTTAAATTGTATATTGTTGACTGTTGTACCTTTGTTGTAAAACCGCGTTGAGTCGCCTGTTAGGCTGAGAAACTGCGGTATACAAGTAAAGTAAATAAATAAATAAATAAAACATGTAAATACATAGCAATATAAAATTACAATAGATACAATCACAATGACAATGGGCGGGCTGCATGTAATGATTAAAAGAGAGACTAATAATAATAATAATAATAATAATAATAACAATAACAATAACACTTTATTTGTACCCCGCTACCATCTCTCCAAGGGACTTGGCGCGGCTTACATGAGGCCGAGTCCAAACACAACAATACAAGCAATAATAACAACAATACAAGCAATTAAAAACACATAGACAGTAAGATAAACAACATTATCAATAAAACAACACATAATTAAAAACAGTGGGAAGGCCAAATGTAGAGTTAAAATTGGAAATAAAGCTGGGACATGAACGGAAGGTGATACTGGTGTTTGTGGAAGGGCATACCTTTTTAAAGGTTTCTAGGGTAGGGGCTTTCCTAATTTCTCCAGGTAGTGAGTTCCAAAGTCAGGGGGCCACAGAGGAGAAAGCTCTCTCCCTTGTGCTTACCAGGTGAGCTTGTGAAGCTGGCAGGGGCAAAGGAAGGGCCTCCCCAGACGAACGGAGGGCCCGAGATGGTACATGGAGGGAGAGACGGTCACGAAGGTAGGCTGGTCCCAATAGTTTAGGGCTTTGTAGGTGATAACCTGCACCTTGAATTGGGACCGGAAAATAAACGGCAGCCAGTGTTCCTTAAACAGGAGGCTGTTAAGATCTTTTGGAGGGGCCCTGCTCTTGGTCCCACCACCTTCACAATCATGTCTGATGGGGACGAGAGACAGCGTCTTTTTTCTGGTGGCCCCCGGCTATGGAACTCTCTCCCGATTGAGATCAGATCTGCCCCCTCCCTCCTGAACTTCAGGAAGCTAGTGAAATCCTGGCTATGGAATGAGGCATTCCCAGAATGATGGCGGAGACTGGCAAATGACTAAAGTTATCGACCACATATGTGGACTGAGTGGGACATGATTTTATCTTGACGAACTGGCTTTTATGTATTTTAGTCTATATATATTTTAATTTATTGTTGATGTATGATGTTATAGATTAGGGGTTCTCAAACTTTTTTAACAGAGGGCCAGGTCACAGTCCCTCAAACTGTTGGAGGGCCGGCTTATAATTTGAAAAAAACATGAATTCCTATGCACACTTCACATATCTTATTTGTAGGGCAAAAAACCCACTTAAAAACAATACAATAATTAAAATGAAGAACAATGTTAACAAATATAAACTTATTAGTATTTCAATGGGAAATGTGGGCCTGCTTTTGGCTGATGAGCTAGGATTGTTGTTGTTGCTGTTGTGTGCTTTCAAGTCGCTTCAGACTTAGATTGACCCTGAGTGAGGGCTGGGTAAATGACCTTGGATCCGGCCCTTAGTTTGAGGACCCCTGTTATAGATTGTATTGTTAGTATAGAATCCTTCCTGTTAGCCGGTCTGAGTCCCTGTACGGAGGTAGAGAAGAACGGGATACAAAAGTTTTAAATAAATAAATAATAACAACAAGGCAGGAAATCCCACAAAATCTGCTTTGAGCTGGATTATGTGACAGCCCTATATCCCAGAATATCAAAGCAGAAAATCCCACAATATCTGCTTTGAGCTGGGTTATCTAGGGGCCCTTCCAAACAGGCCCTATAATCCCAGGATCTCATCCCAGTTTTTCTGCTTTAAACAGGATTATATGAGTCCCCAGGAGCCCCCGGTGGAGCAATGGGTTAAACCGCTGAGCTGCTAAACTTGTTGACCGAAAGCTCGTAGGTTCTAATCCGGGGAGCAGTGTGAGTTTCCGCTGTCAGCCCCAGCTTCTCTCAACCTAGCAGTTCAAAAACATGCAAATATGAGTATATTAATAGGTACTGCTCAACTTATTGATGTAACATTAGAAAATGTTGATCATTTCTGCTACCTTGGCAGCCACCTCTCCACAAAAGTCAACTTTGACTGAAATTCAACACCGCCTGAGCAAATAAGTCTTTTGATAAGGTTCTTTTCAACAGAGGATTTCCTTCTTTCCAGGGTCACAGAGCGTGGCTTCTTATATTTTTATACATTTTTTAAAAAAGGGAATAGGACAGAAGGGTCAGGCAAAGGTCATTCATAGGGGGCTTGAAAAGGTAAAGTTTCCAAAAAGTTTCTAAGAGTCCTTCAGAAGGGAAAAAAGTCCCATAGAAGTTCAAGAGAGTACATAAGTGTAAAGGGAGGTGGTTTCTCAGTAATAAATGTGTTACCTTCTGCTATATATGAAACATAGGGCATAAAACCTTGATTAAATGTACACACTATCTAACATGGGAAGGGTCCTTGTTGTTGTTAGTGTCTTGGCAAATTGACCAAGGCTTAACCCTTATTATCCAGTCTGGTGTCCTTGTCCTTAGCAAAACTATAAGTTACTATCTTTTATTGGGGGGGGGGGGGTCATATTCGACTTCAACACTAGAGCTGTTGCTCTACAATACTTCTATATCAATTCCTGACTCTGAACAATATAATATAGTTGTCAAAAATTGGAGTTGGGAGGAAATCATGTCGAGATCATCATATGTGCCTATTATGATGAAGCCAGTAATTTAGATGAGCTTGGCAACATCAGCCCAGTCAGGAAAATCAGCTTCACCCTTTTAAAATCTTGCACTCAGCAAAACTAAAGATGTCAGAAACATTTCTAAACTAGAAGAAATAGCCCTATGAAAAACAAACCTAATTCTTAATTGGTTTGCTTTCTGTTTAATATATTCCTTTGGTTTATTTAGGTCATAATCAACCCAGAGCATGTGAGTGTGACTACTTTCTTGATTTTTTTGTAGAGTTCCTTGAGGCAATTGATTCAAGATTGTACAAGAAGGCAGTATTTTGTCTAAAACCGGTTTATATGTCAGCCTAATTTGGTGGTACTTTTTCAACAAAATGATTATAATTAATAGAATGTACATGTAATTCGTTCATTCATATGTGGTTCTTGTCTTGATGGTTGTACAAAAATTACGAAGACCCCCACCCCCATTTAATTTGAAGTAAATCCCATCATGTTATACCCTACAAAGTGTGGTTAGGTTGCAGACTTAATATTATAAATCTATTTTAAAAGTGTGTGTGTATTAGTTATTTTATTTTCTGAACAGAACTGCTAATTCTGGGTTGTGCATTCAGGGTAAACCTTGACCTGTTTCATGTCTTGGCTTTCGGTGGGCCCCCTGATCTGTTTTTTGGGAGCCTCCCGAAATTGGGAAGGCAGATATCTGTTTTTGCTCTGGGGTGCTGAAAGATCCATTTTCTATTGGACCATTAAGGGGGGGGGGGCTTCTCGCCCAGGCTCCCCTTTCCAGGATATGCTTTAAGGAGGCTTCTTCTTACCTGGAGTTTCTACTCTAGAGGAGGCGCTCAGCTGCAGGCACTGTCAGGCGGGCCCTTTCTGGGCCTGCACACCACAAACGCAGGGAATTAGGGTTTACTTTTTGTTTGCTGGGGGATTAATAAAAAAGATTAAACTGTGATGCTGAAAAGCAGGCCAGGGCCCACTCTGGTTGCTTCCATCTCGAGCAGATTTCCATACCGGGAGAGGCCTTCTAGTTTCATGCTCCCGAAGTATCGAAAAAAACGTAGGAAACAGGAGAAACA